AAGAGACTGTGGGAGTACATGGACAAAGTCAGCCGTATATAAGTATACATCTTCCCAGATGTCAAAGGGTTGACTCTTATCTTCTACTTGGCACTTTTTTGGCAGTTTCCACTTTTCTTTTCCTTTGCTTCTTTTCTCTGTTTATTTTCCCGTTTTCCTTTTCAGTAATTTCTCTAGGGATTTTTGGAACTTGCCGCACTAGAACCCAAAACAACTGGAGGACAAGACTTTAATGATTTGCCCCAAGACCAAGTAATGTTACCATGCACACATACAAGGAGGGAAGAGAGATCAATGGAAGCTCAGCAGGGTCTCTCATTAGTAAGCAGGAGTTCCTTGTGTTTCATTGTAAAGTACCGTATGTGAGAATGTGTTTAGAAGAGGAAAGGGGAATGGGAATTGATAAGGGATAGAAGAGAATCAAAACTGACTTGAATTGGAGAGTTTGAGGGTTCAGCGGTTTCTCTCTGGAGGTCCCAGGTCCTTGCCAGGTTTTATTCTAGAATCGTTTTCAGGGTTTATGAAGCGAGAGGCGTTTAATTGCCAGCTCATGGATGAGCAGAAGAGCCCATTAGACCTGCATCTGGATCTGAACTTCTTTGGAAACGTTTTACAGCCCTGCTGTGGCCAACTGCCAGTGAAGCACCCGAAGGTCGATGGATAACCATAGCGGGCGGGATCAATGGCAGTCAGCACGATGCTAGACTTGGGAGGGAGGGGGTTGTTTTCTCAAGGCCACACGTTGCTGGAGTGTCAATGATTGTAAATATAAAGGTGGCCCTATCTGATTCTGATTGATCTGCTTAACACACACTGACCCGGTCTTTACGGACTGTTTAAGAAGACTTTAAACAGCTCTTTACTCACAGAGTAGTGCAAAGCTTTACTTCTATTTTACGTCTACTTGTGGTTTCTTTCGTAAATCAATGTGGACTTGTTGCCCTTAAGGTATTGTTGATCTTATAAAGTTCATGTATTAAAATGATTTTGAAATTATTAAAATGTTACCAAGAAAAGGAAATGGGCCAATTATGACTGTTCTAGATGAACAATCCGTTCTTTATTTCCTGTTATTGTTTGAAAATGTTAGCGGTAAGAGATACTTCCAGTTCGCAGTTTGCAAATAAACAAAGGTCCATTATCAGGCAGGTCCACCTCAAGTTTATTAAAGGAGAGTTTGTCTGTTCTCCTGAAATTGGATTTTAGGGATCTTGATGTACTTTCTTTGTGTAGAATTTCCTTCATGCGCTCAGATGGAGTTTGTTTTTTGGTCATTTCATTTTTCCCCATATAGTTATGAAGACAATTAAACACTCTGACATTAAACTTCAGCATCTTCATTTGTGATTTTGTGCGGTGTGACAAATATCCTTGTTGAAAAATCTAAAGCAAATATAGAGAATATTGAAGAGCTAAAACAGATATAAACAAATAAAAAGATATACCAGCAACAACTTTGCAAATCATTTTTGAGGTGAAGTGAATGATGTTTTATTGTGGCAGAGATTTGTAAAATTCAACTTTAAATTTTAGATAATAAAAAAACACTTTACTACCAACTACCAGAAGGGGCAGATATTTGATCATTCCTAAAGGCATATGTAGATCACCAAATGGTCCAAAGACCTGGATCTCTTATGTGTTATTTAGAACAGGCATCCCCAAACTCGGTCCTCAAGGACCACTGTCCTGCAGATTTTAGAGGTTTTCTTGCTCCAGCACAGCTGATTTTAATTGAAAGCTGATTAACAGGCTTTTGGTCTACTGCAATAATTATAATCAGCTGTGCTAAAGCAGGGAAACCTCTAAAACCTGCAGGACAGCGGTCCTTGAGGACCAACTTTGGGGATGCCTGAATTAGAAAACTGAGATGGCCATGGAGGAAGGCTCTTTTGTCCATGTTCGTTTAGCCCCACATTTTCATCATCAAATTCAATTACCCAATGGCAGCCCTTTCTTGGTTAACTGGTACAGTTCGCCATATTTATCTTTTCCTTCTTATTATTTATTATTTCTTGGTATTTTAGAAAGTTCATGAAAACAGGTTTTTAATTGAATCTAGAAGGGACACAGGTCCACAGCATCAAAGAACCTCAACCATAGTCAGCAGAGGGCATAAGGGTGCTCTGTATCATATAATCCTCCTGTTTTTCACTCCAAAAACACCTGTTTTTTTGTTAGCCAAAAGCAGAAACCTAAGCTAATCTAATGAAAGCAGGTTGCTGAGGTATGGACAGTCTTTTAAAAGTGTATCCTTTTTTCTCTTTCTTATTACCAGCTGATAAAATAAGGTTAAAAATGTCCTAAATGGAAAAAAAAAATCTAATTTAAAGAGCACAGCTTGTCTAAGGTTGCAGAAAATGTTCAAAATTAAATTTTGGTGCCAATTGAAGCAGCCGTCTAAATATTTTTTTATTTCAACAAATAGATATATTTTTTAAAACCATTCCTGATGTTGCTGATTATTGAATACCTGTGTGCCACACATTTTAGAGTTAACAGGTATGAGAACTCAAACCTGGAAGCTGGGGGCCTAAATTCAAATTCTGCCCCGGCTCTTCAACAACCTTTGGCTGCCTCTGCTATGGGTGGTTTTAGCTTGACATTTGTGAGTGCTTCTTTCCCCATCCTTTTACTCTTCAGTATTTCCGATTTCATTGTAATTGCTTTCATTGTTACAAAACTAAATATGTTTTATAGAAATGTGCTTTCTCTTTTGACTATTTTACTTTTTTATGGCTGTTTCTTACCAGACTGTTCTTCATCCTTATCTTCTTCAGCCTATCCTTTCCTTCCCATTTTCTTTGTTCTATAAAATGTTTGTTTTAAAAAGAAATTAATCCAAATAAGCAGCACTGGGTTCTAGGAGTCTGCCATATGCATCAATAATTGTCTGCCCCCAATGAGAGAAGTGATAAAATTACACTAAACAAACATGTATCCTTAGACAAGTATTCTTTCTTCCTTTGGATGACAACTTTTTACTTGTGCCCAAATATAATGAAGCATTTAAATATTTTTTTTGCTACTCTCCCCAACAACATTCATGCAGCTACCAATAGTTGCTGAAAGTTACCCAACTTTGAGGTCTGCAGTATATAAGTACAGATTGAGCCCAAACCACCATTTATCTCACAGAAATGCACTTTCCTTAATTATTGTGTGCATAAACAACTTCAAATGCATTTTGACTGAATAAGTTTGTGCTGCATTATATTTCCAAAGCAAAAAAAAAAACTGTGGCTGAATTGAAATGAGATTTAGTCTGACTTATTCATACGAACAGGCAAAGTTTGTTAAAGCTAAATGATGATAGGGATTTTCATGAGCATTTTGTGGAGTTAAAGAGAAAAGTAAAACACAAATGAATTAAAAAAGTTACTCTTTTGTTTAATAAAAAATACATCTATAAATTCGGCAACTTCGCTTCCATTATCATGAAAAACAGAGAAACAATGGAGACCAACTTTACAGTAGGCTTTCAGAACTACACGGAAACACAAAACACAGAGATGACATGTTGAAGGAAAAACAGCAGAATTAAGATAAATGACTTAAATAAAACACTTCAGCAGAAATAAATCTGGTGGGAGGAATAAAACAAGAATCTACACTGAAATAATCCGTCTGCTGACACATTAATAGGAGACGGCTTTTTGAGAATTCAAAACATCACAAGGTTCACTTCAGTCCAAATCTTCAGCAGCTTGGTGTGAAAACAAACAGCGCATGAACAGGCAATGGGTCTGCAGCTGGGTGACTGGTTTAAAAAAAAAAAAGGGTGTATAAAGCAAAGACTTGAATGAACAAAAGCTATTTTCTTAATAGTCGTCCTGTCTTTTTTTTCTAAAATATTTATTCGAGCAAAATGTTCATGTTTCACTCAGAAGATCTTCTGCAGCAGACTCCTCCCCCCTTTATTTCCAAAAACAACAGTGATTGGCTTGTGCATGAATAATGGCCTAAATCAGGGGTGTCAAACTGGTTCCAGAAAGGGCCGTGTGGCTGCAGGTTTTCTTTCCAACCAAACAATAGCACAGCAGACTCCAGTCATCTCATCAAGTCATTGTGTTCAGATTGAACTCACTTAATGAGATGACTGGAGTCTGGTGTGCTATTGCTTGGTTGGAAAGAAAACCTGCAGCCACACGGCCCTTTCTGGAACCAGTTTGACACCTCTGGCCTAAATCGAACGCAGTTTTAGGGGTTCATTAAATAACATTAGAATAAATGTTTTGTCGTGAGCTGTTTATCAATGATAGACGCCTACTTTGATCTCACTCTCACCCAGACATGCCCCACTGAACCCATTAATCTAAATAATATAGCAAATCAATACAAAAAAAGATGCATTTACTGTAGTTAAGATGAACTACTTAAAACTTTTTAAAAGAACCTCATATAACAATTTGAAAAATATCCTGTTTCAGTTTAATTATAAGGAAGGCGGTTTCTTATCCATCGATTATTTTTAGCCCAAACTTCAGCAGTTTTTTCTGTAATAGGAAATTTCCATCCGCATTGATAATGTAGACGGAGGAAAAGGTTTTTGTCATGACCTACAGTGCGCCATCTTGTCCTTCCAGAAGGAAATGAGTTCCCCATAATGCTGCAGACTGAAAGGATCACGGCACTGGGAGGAAGTGATGATTATGAAGCAAAATTTCACTTCTTTGCTGTTATTAGCTGCCAACATGGTCTGGTTGAATGCAGAAAACGGCACTGATTGAAGTTTTCAGCTGATGCATAGGAGTTCTCTGAGGGCAAAGTGCTTACTGTGAAGAAGTAAGGAGAGGTTGTACCTGCGGTTTTCGTCAATATTTCACAAAGTGCATGACTTATAGTGGGTTTTTCAGACAGTCACAAAACCTGTATTATACAATCCTTTTGGAAAAAGAAATCCAATTACAGTCTGTACTGACAGTATGTACCTCTCCTCATAGAAAAATTGTTTATCCTTTCAATTTATCCTCTTTTTACAACAGTTTGGTGTTTTTTTTTTTTAGTTAGTCATTATTTCCTGTAAGCCTGGTTTCATTTGTGTTTCTAAGCACAGAGAGCGAAGCATTGCATTAGGATTGCCTTGCTTCTGAGGTTTCCTCTCTTTGTAACTGCAATCTTTCTTAACTTTTAGCAGCACATAACTCTCAAAAACATCTTTTCCCCACTTAAAAACAGACTAAATTAGATATTTCCCCTACAATACTGCCACACCAGCCAATTAAACACTTGGTTTATTGTGCTTTTTTCAAAACAACTCCGTAGATGTGGTGATCCAGCTGCCAGCAGATGATGCTCACCTTTGATGAAATGTATGCACATTGCACGGTGCAGGACTTTGTGCTGACTCTGCGCTCTGAGAACATTATTCCACCATTTTTCTTTACTTTTTTTTTTTTTTGAGCAAATCATTTTAGTTCAGAATGGCATCTTTCTTTCAGTCATTTTCTCCCTGTCTGCCAGACGGTCAGATACAAGGTCTCTGTAACTAAGTGCAACGATTACATAACCTTCACATGAAAGTCAAACCACGACAAAAAGACTTTTCTTTTGTTTTCCATCACGGGGTCCTTGGTTATGACCAATATGATCATATTAGGTTCAGCTGTTTGTGCTGTCCTCTTCTGCTCTTGACTCCGAATTCTTCTGATTGGGGGGGCTGAGAGAAAATCCTCTCATCTGATGCTGATTTGCTCACCATGAAAGTCCAATCGAAGCTCACTCCCATCAGATTCCTGTCATCATCTGCAAATATAAAGAAGCTTAATATGAGATTGGGGTCTTTATGAAGTGAAATGTCACAGCCTGTGTAATAACCTTCAATGACGTCTATCTGGTTTTCCTGGATATTTGCATTTTTTAAAGGTCAGATGAGACCTTTAAAACTTTCAATCCCAATTTCGTATAAATAAGATGCAACCCTGCTGGTCTCTCCTTGCTTTGGACAGTCAGACACTGAAATCCTTTATTTTTAAAAAAACAGACTAAAACCTGAGCATCTGGGTAGTAATTTTTACTTCTCACCATAGTTCCTTAATTAGATTTCAATTTGGACTTTGATTTAACCATTCTAAAATAGCTTTCATCTAAATCCCCTTTTACCCAGTTCTAGTCTTCAGTCCAATAAGTTCTTCCTCAACACTAAACTGTCAAAAGAATGGTTAAGATCTAGGAAACTATACACTAAATTGGATCTTTCTGAAGAGATACCATTAGGTCACCTCTAATGGATCAGGAGCAAATAGGGAAACTACCAGACAATAGTTCAATTCAATTTCAATTCAGTTTATTTCTATAGCGCCAATTCACAACATGTCATCTTAAGGAACTTTACAATTCAACCGGATCATCCAGTCAAATTGATTAAAAGTTTTCTAAGGAAAACCAGTTGATTGCATCGACTCATTGACTCAAAGGCAATCCCTCACACTATAAGCATCCTTGTAGCGACAGTAGAGAGGAAAAACTAATCTTAGTTATTGAGGAATTAAGATGGACAACCCCGTGGAAACCATTGTGCTGGTTCTATGTTCATGGTTAATCTCCAGCTAGAAGGTAACCCTTGGTGTAGGCCTCAATTGTTTAATAGTCTATTTCTTTCAAAACTACTCAATACACAACTTAGTTTTTTGCAAAAAAACAAACAAAAACTAAAAGCTTTCCAAACACAGCTGTGGAGATTGCTTCACCAATGAGGTTTTGTTTACTGGACTCACCAAAAATGCTATTTTCAAATTCTTCTGCTGTCTCCATTGTGCAGCTTATGTAAAACATTTTTGAGGTTCTTTCTACAAATGCTTTTTTTTTACTCTCCTAAATGCCAGATGTGCAACGACCAACTGTTCTGTGGAAGGATCTTCAACCAAAACATCAGCTGTCTGTAGGTTCTCAAGAGTTACATCGAACCTCAGTGTTGCTTTTCTGACCAATTATGCTATTACATTGCCTGTCAATTAAGCTAAATCAACATATCTTGATTAATTTTCAAATTTTGAAAATACATTTTTAATAAAAAAAAAAAAAAAAACATTCTGCCTGACCTGACTCCTGGTTTATAAATGAATACTGAATGTAAATGTTCTTATCTGTTTGTAAGAAAAGAACATGTAAGCTTTCCTTCGTCTTTGCACTGCTTTCTCTTGTTTAATCAGAAAAACAAAAACTTAAGGCATAAAAAAATTGAAACACTTGAACACCAGCTATGTAGGGCCTCAGTAGGCTGATGGAAGCAGCATTAAGCAGCTATCCATTGAAGCTGCCTGGGATATTGCATGTGGCATTAAATGGCATGTGAGGCCACGTCCCTCTGAAATCATCCTGCCGTGCTGTTTTTAGTCTGTTCCAACCGTTCAATATACGTCTCTCCCGGCATGGAGCTGATTTGGACAATGGATTCTCACTTTTAGACGGGTCAATGCACACTTATTCACCCAGGAATAAAACAGATCTACTGACTGTGGAGAGGTCAATGAAGATGATTTATTTACATACAGGGTAATCAGTATCTGCTGAGCTTTCACTGGGAATTTTATTTGCTTCTGGTCCTAAACTGGCAGCAATTGACATTTACCCAGATATATATTCTGAACAAAATACTACAGTCTTTTATTTTGTTGCATTAAACAGATGCATTGAAAGCACAAACCGTTTGCATTGCAAAAGTCTTCCGGCATCTTACATAAACTTTAGAGTAGAGCTGGGGGATATGGCTAAAAACTTATCAGGATATTTATTGGTACCACTAAATATATTTTTAACAATAAAAATGATTAAGAAAAAAGACTTCTTGTGACTCCTTAAGCACTTTCATAAGTAAATGTATGGCTGCGACTGCCTGCCACAGCAATCATTGCCCAGCAATACTGCTCTTAAAACTATACATATTTAAAAACAGTTCTCTTCTCAACACCATTTACATAAAGAAGAACAATTTATATAACTAAATATCCCACAGTAACACCATATATCTAATCTTCCAATCTGTCAACCCTCTAAGGAGAAAAAAATTAGATCAGAACAGTAGAGGGTTAGAATTTTTTTTTTCATATTTCACTTATTTTTGGAGTTTTTAAAGCGTCTTTATTATTACTGATGACGATAAACAACAAATATTTGATTACGATTCAATATGATGGATCAACACGAGACAATAGATGAAATTATTAAATTGGTGTAAGATTGTTATGATTAGAAGACAACCAGCAGCCTGAAGACCAAAGAATCCAGCAGACAGCATAAGGAAGGGCTGGGCTTCTGAATCTTTTCTTATCTGTGCTTAATCTATCTTCTAAAAATAAAACAAATAAGACAATACTACCACATTTACCAAGATATGACGGTATTAATATGAAGCAGCCAGGAGACAGAAGATTACTTTGGAGGAGCTACAGAGATCTGCAGCTCTGGTGAGAACAGGACAATTCTCAGTCCTGCACCTCACAGATCTGGATGGTTTTACTGGAGAGCTGCAAGTTGCTTACTGTTTATTAGATAAGAATAAAACCGAACTTTTCACTCTCTTACAAAATGTTATGTGAAGTTAAAGACAAAAACTGCACATCATCCTGATTCCTGCTGTGAAACTGTAATGGCAGCATCATGCTGTGGGGAAGAGAAGAGAAAAAGGGGGCCAGAGCTAATGATAAGGTTAATGAAGCTAAATAAAATGCATACTTTGCCTGGAAGGACAAATAGTTAGCTGTTGCAAAGAATTAAGACTGCAGACGAGGTTTACCTTCTAACAGGAGAATGACCCAAAACATAGAGCCAGAGCAACAATTATGTGTTTGGATCAAAGTGAAACCGTGTCTTAGAAGGATTTAAACAAAGTCCAGATCTAAATCAAAATCAAACCAGACATTTCAAATTAATGTTGTACAGCTTTTATGCAAAGAAAAATTGCAGGAACTTACTCTGACAGTTAAAATGTACTGCTCTAAGCATTCTGAGGCTGTGCCATGACTTTATGAGGACAGTAGGTTTGTAAGACAACGTATGCAAGTGAAACAGAAACCCAGTCACAATGTTTGCCTTTGCAGGCTGCGCTGCTCCCTTCAGACGACCAGACAGGGCACAGCTGAGGCCTCACTCAATGTGTGCCGCCGCTGTCATCATGCATCACTGTAATTGGCCCGGTTGTTTCAAAGCAATAAGACCAATGATGAGTGAGCTTATTACCGACCACATCCTCCAGAACACTGGTTCTGTTTCTACATTACACTGCAGCCCAAGTACACACATTCAGACACCCTCTCTAATTAAAGCACTGCTAAAACAGAGCAGTTTACCAGATAATAGAAATCAAAATATGGAAAAAATACAAACTTTTACAATTTTTTTTAAGATGTCTGTATGCCATCCAGATATGAGCTTGAGCCTCATTAACAGAACACAACAGTCACAGTAACATTGCATCATGTTTCTGCCTGACAATGCTATGTAGATGTGGAAAGCAAAAAAGAATTGTAACTAGAACCTGAAGCAACTCAGCTAAGAGGTACATTGCATTTTTTTTTTAGCAACGGTATAGCAAAACAAGCATTGCGGCAGCAGAATAAACCATAAATAAAGATTCAGATGTTTCTTAAATATTCAAATGACATTGCCATTACAGAAACATTTTTATGTCTATGTAATGATTACAGTAGTAGCCATCCAAAATTTCCCCCCTTTCCTTGATAGGCCCTTGGCTGGTCTTTGGCTAATCCCCTTCAATTCCTTTTTAAACATCAATATTTGTATTAAATATTCTTTCTGTCATGATTTGTGAACATTAAGATCTAAACGGACACGTAATCTCCTGATCAGACCCTGTAATTCAGTGAAAGGGTGGAGTCAGAGTAAAAAAATATGCAAGAGGTGGTCACTCCACTGGCTGGAAGTTGGAGGGGATTTCGCTGGGGGTTGGAGGGAAGTGGGAAGTCATTCGGCTGGTGTTTGACTGAATGGCATTTTGAATGGCTGGTACTGTAGATAATCTAGATTGGACGTCATGTGTCAGTTAAGATTTACTTAGAAGTCCAAATATTGGTCATTTTACCCCAAAAAAATGAAAAAATAATATTTAGAAATGTCACCTTTGTCTAGTTTTGGATCCATAATCTTGTAAAATCTGAGTGCAGGCCTCCTCCAGGTTCCAGTCGCACATCTCCAGCAGCTTTAGGCACTCGGACCTGCTCCTCAGACCCAAACAGAACAACTGCTCCACCTGCAGAGAGACAGAAAACAGAAATATTTTTTTCTTACTAGTTTTAAAACAACCTGAGTAAATGTGCAAAGTAATTCAGGCTCCTTCCTCTCCGATTCCGCTTTCAGCCCATTCAGTCAGTACACTACTCGTTTCGCATTGTTGTTCCAGCTTCATGGCATATTTGCCATATCTTTTACCTCTGTTCAGAGTTTGATGCACACATTATTTAATAAAACATCTCATCTCTGGGGAAACCAACTAGTCACCATCCTAAAGAGTCGTTGTAGTCAACTCCCAAAGTCGACCACAGTGACTTTCAAAAATATTTAAGCTCTTTTACTTTTTACCTATTGTCTTTTATTCTAACCTGGTTTTCAATTTTCAGCAATGTACCAAATCTGTACATAATAGACTGATTTGGTGAAGTTAAAGAAGTAAATTATGAATATTATGAGCTCTGACAAATCTGCTAAAAGCAATCACCTTTAAAAGTCACAGTGCTGATTAAAATAAAGTCAACCTGACCTGTGTCATGTGATCTATCTGTATAAACACACCTGGTCAAAGGTTTCAGGAGCACTTGTCAAGAGGCCTCAAACCATGAGGACTAAGGAGCTCTTCAAACAAGTCAGAGACAAAACTATGAAGAAACACAAGTCAGGGTAGGATCATAACCATTTGATGCATCATCTTCAGATTGATTGGTTCCACAACAAATCCACCAAGAAAGGGATGTTCTAAGGATTGGAGAGGGAAATCTTTTCAGCCTGGTAGTTAAAGACTGGCTCATTCTTTCAAATATAAAATAACATGGCAAAAACAAATTTAATAATGTCAGTTCTTTATAGTCATAGTGCAAATAATTAGAAATAGAAAAACGATGTAAAATTAAAATTTTCGAGTAGAAGAAAAAAATCCACTGTGTTATTATGAAAAATAAAGTTCAACTCAACTTTTTGACATAAAAAAACAGAATAACTAACTAACAGTAGGGTGTAAAGCACTAATACTACTACTACTATAAGCGCCATAGTAGAGCACTACATAATGCAGTCTTAATTGATACCTTGTCTCAGTCATTGGACATGAATAGTTCTTTATCTTTTTTATTACACTAGCTTTATGATTAAGCTAGCATTATATTGCCATTTACCAGCTGTCTCTTCTGTCCGTGTTCTTGAAAAGTATCTGTGAGATAAGCATGTATGGCTGCATCTTCCACTAACCCCTTTCTTTATTTTTTTGCCATATTTCTTCAACCCCTCCTAGTCTCTTTCTATATATTTTTGCTTGCTGATCAACACCTTGCCTATATTCTCCATTCTGCACCTTTGATAGGGAGAAGCTGTGGTGGGGGGGTGTCTACTTTAAGCTATTAAGAGGACTTTCTTGTCAAATGTTTACTCCCAAATTGCCATTTCAGTCTCTTAAAGAGACAGATTGATTTAGAGCAAGTAGCACCAAGGTTCTACTGTCATTTACTTTCCTTGGTACCGGCGAGTCGATCAATGAAGCGGCCCCCTGGGAATCTTACGGATTGACCGCTTGGCCTTTGGCTGTCTCAAAAATTCACAGACTGTTTGAGGAGGGCATGTATGAGATATGCAGCACAGAGACCAAAGGTAGCCCTAAGGTGCTGCAGAGTTCCACAGTACAGACTGGGGGATCTGTCTATACTGTAGGACCACAATACGCTGCACACTCCTTTAAACCTGGGGCTTATGGAAGAGTGACCAGAAAAAAGTCTTAGTCTTAGGCCTATTTTAAATTCACCATAACATATGTGGATGACAATCTAAATGTATGGAGGAAGGGGTACTGAACTGTGCAAAAGTTAGACTTTTTTGTACACCACAGAAAACTGTCTGACCGACACCAACATCCCATCATCCTAAGAACCTCATCCCCACAGTAAAACATGGTGGTGGCAGCATCATGCTTGAGAGGCGGGAGGTACCGGACAGCTAGTAATAGATAGTGCTAAATGGAGGGAAACTGATGATCAAAACTTGTTTCAGTCTGCCTGTGATTTGATACTAGGATGGAGGTTCATCCTCCAGCAGGACAATGACCCGAAGCATACTGATTTAATGGGAAAGATTAAACATGTTGGAGTGGCCTAGTTAAAGTCCAGACCTGAGACAAAAAGAGAATCTGTAGTTAGAGGTATATGGTGTTCAAAATCCAAAAGCATTCAATATGAGGAACTGGAGCAGTAAAGAGCAAAAGGCCTGCTGAGAAGACATGGAGCATAGAGACTGATCAAAGCCATCCGCAGCTGGAATGACCAAAAGTTGGTTCTACACAGTAGCGCCTGAACTGCCATACAAGCAGAAATATTCTCGTAGCTCGTCCTGTTTGCCGTTTTATCCACAATAAAAAGTTTAAAATTGTAAAAAAGTATATGAATAAAAATGGAGTAACATGTAGAACTGCTGCCTTTTTTAACACCAATTTTAATGGTAACTACAATTATACTTTATAAATGGTAAATGGTCAGAGATATACAGTAGAGCGTTGTTTTGACCACAGTAGAAAATAAAAGCTAAATACCTATTGCTATAATTCAATAGTTTAAAAGAAATGACATGACAAACCTTGAGGCTTTTGGAATCTGGACCTAGATAAGTTAATTTTATGATTTTCTGTGTGCTAATAATGGATTTTTTTCACGATTTCATGAAAGGACCTGATGTTTTTGAGAGGTCTTTAAAATACATCCAAAGGTTTACTTCTCTTAATTCTATTTGGGTGTTTTTAACAAAGACCATGTTAGGAACACTAAGGTGTTTCTAACATGGTCATTTTAAAGTATTAAACTGTTTACCTTTTAACAGAAATAAGAATTTGGGATTATTTAGGGATTATTCAATTTTATTAATCCAAAATGATATAAAGTTTACATTTTTAGCATCAGATAACACTGAAAAAAAAGATTTAAGGTGAAAGATTTTTCGTGAATTTTTTTAAAAAACCAGCGCTCTCTATTAAACGCGTGCGAGAGCCTGCACAAACCCATTTCTCCTTGTTCACGCTTTGTTTAAAAGTTGTTGTTCTCATAGGTCATACAACACCTTACTGTGTCTGAATGTCGCCCTAACCTCTAAATCCCTCAATATCTAAAGAGTGGCGACTATATAGTGGACTTAATAGCAAACTCCGTTAACTGACCGTTTGGACAGATGATCCCTGGTTTAAACTTCGTTGGTCACGTAACTCCTCCTTCACCACGCAGTGCCTGTGCTCACTTTTACCTTACAACACTGCCATTTTCAAAGAGCAGTGGTGAGAAAGGCGAGCTTCAGTGACTGTCTGAAACCGTAGCTCACCACAGATATACACCTGAAATTGCACATGTGCAGAAAAACATAGCTAACTGGGGACAAGCACGTAGGATGGCCTTACGTAAACATATCACCAGAATGATTAACATTTAGAAGAACCCAATTATTTAGATGATTGTCCTCTATACCTTTAATACCATACACACCATCAGTGTGTGAGTGTGTGCGTGAATGGGTGAATGAATGTAGTGTAAAGCGCTTTGGTCAAGTCTCCTGACTTGAATAAAGGCGCTATATAAGTACATGCCATTTATCATTTAATATAGTGAATGTAAATATTTGCTTTTGACTGCAAATGTAAAATTGATTCATAGTCTGTTGTGTCTGATGAACAAAGATGCAACATTTTAAATAAATAATAAAATAATGATATTTCTGACAAGTTTTGGAATTTTATTTGCATCATTCACAAAAAAGTGATAGTGACAAAAAAAAAAAAACTGCACTAAACTGCAGATATCCAATATTCTTTTGCCAACATAGTTTACAATCTTGCCATCACAGGAAAACCTTTTCTGTCACTTCCAATAGTCACTGAAAATACTCCACCAGATGATTCAATGGCATCCAAAACCAAGTTTAGCCACAGAAATAACCTGGAGTAATTATTTTCTGCATGAATTATCAATCCCTCTCTTCCCTGTGGAGCACAATTGGCTCCACTCTTCTTTATAACATTTTTTTCAGTTCATTAAGGTTTGCAGATATTCATTTGAGCTGAGGTCTCAGTACAGCTTCTTTATCAGGCAGGCCTCTCTACTCAGGTTTGCTCTTTCAATTAGAGTAAACAAAAAACTAAAGTTAATGCTCACAAACACAAGTTTGTGTTGCTAACCTTATCATAACATTGTATTGACTTTCTTTATAGTGACTCCAACAATGAACAAAACTTAATTTTAATAACTGCAACTTTAAGCATATTTTTATATAGTAAATTGGCTTTTTTGGGGAAAACCTGGTCTGATTCGGAGAGGCGGCAACCATCATACTTTGGATGCTGCAGCTCTTCTTTCTGGGAATCTGGACAGATTTATTAGTCCTCCAAATCCCTGACATCCCAGGGTGGAATAGAGTTTTAGTATAACACACGTCTTTGCAGCTTCTCTACTGTTACCCACTCATTACTCCATCCAGACAGTGTCTTGCCTATGACCAAAATTAAACAAATTAGAGAAGGATCCTATAGTAGTAAATCATGATAAGCTAACTAAAATTATAGCAATTCCAATTAGTTCAAACTATTAAATTGTTTTTTGATATAATTTATCTTTCTTCAAAAAGTCTGCTAGTTAATGACTTGATTTGTGATAATCCAATTGATTTATGTTCACTTACAGTAACTTGGCTGCAGAAAAAGAGCAAAAATAAGGCAGCTCCTTCTAGTTATTCAAATTTTCACAAACCCAGAAATTTGGGGCTGCTCCAAAGCCAGATAATAGTTACAACTATTTTGAACATTTAACCCTTAGTTTACCTCATCCAAAGTGCAAAGCACACAAATCTCTTCCATTTCTAACTTTATATCAGGGGTAACTAATTACAAATCAGAGGGGTCTGATTAAAGAAAATCAACAACCAGTAAAGTTCTGGAGGCATTGTAGTTATAATCTGTTACTTTAAACCGAATTTAACACTGAAACAAAATTAGGTGTTAATGCCTCCATGTCCAGATCCGGACCCACCTGCTGGCTAATCCGGACCCAAACTGATTTAAAATATTTTTAAGTTACTGCATGTTGTCTGACAATATTGTCTAAATTCAATTGTGCCACTTCCCCCGTTTGTATGGTAAAGCCATCTGGAGCGTCCGGCACCGGGCTGCACGTGATACAAATTAGCCAATAAGCTGTCAGTCTAGGTTGCTGCCGCTAGCTACTTTAACCTCTCAAAACCCGTTTTACTGCGCTTACAAATAGTAACTCAGGATGCATGACAATTACACTGGTAAAATGTTTACCAATATAGATATGTTAGACATTGTTGAAAAGCTTAGATTCGCCACAATTCAACCACCTAGTTCATTTTATGGACATAGCGAGCACCAAAGCACAATTATAGCAGCATGTTGAAATGTAGCACAACAAAGCAGCCACTACAAGCAAGCATGTCTTTATTACTGCTGTTCAAAAAAGACTTATTATTTTCGAGAATAAAAAACTTTAAGTCATGTTTAAACTGATGCAGCTTGGGTGTTTTACTCACCGAATGTTAATGTATATATTCAGAAACTAGAAGGTGTTAGCTTTCAAATAACATATCACACATGTAATTTGGGCTTACAGTTTCTCAGTTATTTGCTTTTCCATTTGGGTAAGCAGATGAGGTGAATTTCCCAGAAATTAGGTGGATATTAAGAGGTTAAGACACAGCAGGCAAACCTGTGGCAAGCTCGGCAATGGGAAAAAAGAAGAAGATAATGAGAAAAAGAGAGCAGAGAAAGTGTAGACTCCTAGAAGAATTTGCAGAAAACTGGTGAAAGAAAAGTGAAATGGTGTGCTCAAAGATGACGCTGCACAGTTTGAATATGTTTGGCTCAACCTACTGCTGTGAAGAATTTTCCTCTATGAACATAATCAAAAATATTGATTTAGGCTCAAAATGAGCACCTTGATATGTGCTTTAGAATGGCTTTGTCACCAATCAAACCCAGGTTTAAAACCATGCAGGTCAGCTTAAAGCCCACTGCTCTCATTAAGGCATAAAAAAAGAAAGAAAAACGGTCAGTTCAGGTGTTTTATAAAAAAAAAAAAAAAAGTGAATCAGGAAATTGTCTATACACCAAACTGAGAGATTGTTGTTCTCTACTTCAAAAACAATTTAAAATAAAATCTAAAATAGAAAAATTTTCTTTTTTTTTTTGTATTTTTATTAAACAGTTCAATATATAGCTTGGATGCATTTTATTTCCTGCATTTTATTTCAGTGTTAAATGCTCAAAAGTAACAGATTATAATTAAAAATATCTGGACCTCTACTGGTTGTTGATTTTCTTTAGTCATACCCCACTGATTTTTAACTGGTTTTAACTGGCTATAAACCCTATGAATTATTAGAAGGTTAGCGATAGTGTCACATAAGCTACTACTATGAGAAAATAAGTGTGCACACTTGCACACTTTTATCTAGAAACACTGTCTTGGGTGACACCTATTAAATCTACCATGAAGACATTTGTATGAAAGTAACTGCCTTGCAGTCTTCAGTAGTGATGGGTGAAGTTTGCTCTTCTTTCTTCTACTGAGGACGGACAGTAACATATCATCCCAATAAGCTTGAAGCTCATTTCGATTGTCAGAAGACAGCTCGTCTTACTAAGTTTTTCCTAGTAACATTAAAAAAGTATATTTATTTATTGTTATTGTAGTAAAGTTTTTGTGTGGACTGTCTTTCGAGCTCATTTATATGCTATTGATGCACAAACAGAAAAAAAATTGTTTTTTCTTTCCCCTCCATCACACACACTCCCTAACGCATTGCTTGAACCAATCATAACCTTGGACATGTCTAGACCTGCCTCTCTCATTAAAACCATAAAGAAAAGTTGAAAATATTGCCCTGGGAAAGCACAGATCAATAAATGATTAAGTGTTCAACAGCCCGCCCAAAAAAACAGAAAACCCAAAGGGAGGAAAAATAAACAGGTTAATGAGTTGAATCGACTTTGTCTCTTTTCCAACTGGGATAAGTGGCAAAGATTGCATTTTATAAAGAGATGAAAGCAAAAGAAAAACTTACTTTGAACCTTTTATCAGCTACTCAACTGGTTTATTATCTTGTCTATTATATTTTATAGTGTTTTGACACTTATGAGCCTCTGTAACTCGAAAGATTTGTGGTAACTGCATGGTGATATACCAGGACAATGGTTGGTGACAGAGATCATACAACATTCAGTTTGATCAGCACTTTCCAGTCAGTAAGAATATTTTCCGTAACTGCTTTAGGGACATGCTACAACAGAAGTCTTTGAATCAAAAACAATTTATAAATGAATAATACTTAACTTTTGTAATTTTTTTGGTATTAGTCAAAATACCTTTTTGTCTAGTAAATGGCTGCAGTTCATTAATATTAGCAGAGATTAAAGCCAGGCTTATGCTGTATGATTTTTTGCCCTTTTCGGGACAATTCTTCAGTCGTGCGAGAATTTTTCAATCGTGCCGACTTTCAGCCTGATCATGCGTCGTGCATCGTTTAGTGTACAGGGGGCAACCAGGGGCGATCAGCCTCTCACGACCACCTCCCGATCAGGAATCGTAAGGTCGGGAGAAAATTAAACATGTTTGAAATACAGTGGGCCGTTTTGGGCAAATCGCTCAGTGGCAAGGCAAGGCAAATTTATTTGTATAGCACAATTCAGTACAAAGACAATGCAAAGTGTTTTACATGATTAAAATATAGGAAAATAAAACGGAATCAAAGCAAGTAGGAAAAAAAAAAATTTAAAAATGCAGAAATGAGTTCTGTTTGTAACATTGACAGACAGTAGTAGCCACGTTTGCTCAGCCACATCTTTGTCCAAATACGTCGTCACCTTTTCTTTTCAGGGCTTTCAGCACAAAATTGCACGAATTGCCAAGGCAGCACGTTTCACTCTAGTCGGCTTCATATTCCTCCTCTACTCATTTGGCTTCCGGATAGATAAGTCTCAGTCGTGCCATCTCACTGCGGAGCTGAGTCCGATGTGGTTTTTTAGACAAGTAGTGTGAACAGGTATATCTGATCAGAGCATTGGGCAGTACATGCATCATGAGCTGTGAACTCACACTATACGGCGATCCCTGCGGTTTCGTCGTACAGTGTGAGCTACAGCTGTGTGCAACGACTGAAAAAAATCGAACAGTGTATGCCTGGCTTTAGTAAGAGCAAGACATTAAGCACATAAGAAGGATGAAAGCTAAGGAATGTTCAGAAAGAACACAAATGTGGCAACTAGAAGGAGATGTTCATGTTAATCCAGTCAAATGGTCGGTTCAGGAGTAACTAAACTGCCAGAAATAAAACTGACACGTTTCAAGCATATATTTGTTTTTCAAATATAGGCAGGTTCAACATGGACACAGAGTAAAGAGAAATTTTGCTGAAGTTAAAAAATCTGACCTTCTTTATTTATTTCTCATTGTGTTTGTCGCTGTGACATGGGGTTAACCAGCACAAGAGAGATAAACTTTTTTTTTTGTTAAAAGCTAAAGACACCAAGTCATGGATGCAGATGCTGTTGTCTAGCTTTCCATATCACATAAAGTGCCGTGACTCACTCTCAGCTATGGTGAGTTGCAAAGACAACCAAAGCCAGATTTCGTAACTCAACATGTATTGTGATCCATGGAGCACAGAATATGCTGTAACACCGGTAAGGCCGGGCATACACTGTATAATTTTTTGGACCAATTTTCCAGTCTTGCAAGAATTTTTTTGATCGGGCAGAGTTTCAGCCTCATTATAGTCCGATGTGTAGTATGCAGGGGGTGATGAGGGGCGGTTAGCCTCTCATGACCACCTCCCAATCAGGAATCCTAAGGTCAGGAGAAAATTACAAATGACTGAAATCTAGTCGGCCCTTGTGGGGTATTTGTGAGCAAATCCTGCAGTTGAAACAGAGCTACACGCCAATTTACCAGAACATCACTAACTGTGCATGTGCAAAAATGGGAGTTGTTCTTTTTCCTTTCGGACTGATGAGTCCAACCAGCGTCATCTCTCAGCACTGAGTCCGACATGTGGTTTTTGGACGTACAGTGTGAGCAGTTAGGTCGCATCAGGGTGTTGGGCCATACCGTGCAACTCCATACATCATGAGCTGTGAACACATAAATCCTGTGATTTCAACGTACAGTTTGAGCTCTGGCTGAGTACAACGATAGAAAATATCATACAGTGTATGCCCAGCCTAAGCAAATAGACAGTCCTCCAATTTGATGATAGACACGTGGTTGTAATTACCGCAGTGTCTGCAATAAGGAGCTGAAATGTAAAGCGACCAAGACCAGGCGACCCTCATGAATTTTGAAAAGTTTTTAACATCTTGCTTGTAATTTGTAATTTTGTAATTTTTATTAAGGATCCCCATTAGCTGTTGCCATGGCAAACAGCTAGTCTTCCTGGGGTCCACATCTTGCTTGAATCAATATTGTCAACGAAATGAACACAAACTGTAGCTTCTGTAACGCAACATATGCTAACTAATGTAGAAAATAACAGTTTAATAATTGTTTCTTAAATGGAAATCCGAGTCAGAAATATTCCTATTAGTTGATCTCCATTACTAAACAATTACAGAGAGGAACACAAGAGGAGGACAATTCTATGCAGAGACTGCAGCAAACTAAATGCTCTTACCTTCAAATAATTCACAGCTTTCTGGATATCCCAGTTGTTGTTCTGCAGGGCCGTTTGACACTCTGCTATCGTCACGCCGTGAACAGCCTCCTGCACCTGAAATTGAGCAGCAGCAGCTTGAAAACAGTCTGAAAACTCCATCTACAGCCCACACTCTGAGGTATAATTTCTTTTTGTGTGTGTGTTAACACCAGTGCATCTCCTTTTGATGAAATCAAATGTATTGACATCGCATTAATATTTCACAAAAATGTTCAGACCAACAACTGACTCACTCTGGGCATCTACACCGATCACTGAACAGCACCACACGTCCCAATAATATATCAGCCTGAATTTCACATCAACTAAAAACTTTAGAAACATAACAGTGAAGAAGTTGTTTGATGGGGAGCCAGAGGTTTAGAGTTAACCCCATAGATGACAACAATCACCAAAATTAAACAAAAAAGAAACATTGATGAACCACCTAGAGTTCATCTGTGTCTCACATTGATCTCCTCTGCTGCGTATTTTACATATAGTTCTAAAATCTCACTGCACAGCTGGTGTAGTATTGTCAAAGATCTCCATATCTGCTTGATCAATGGAGCGCCTTTGGTTCCCTACGCAATTGTAGACTAGGACGTCTCTTTGCAGATGTGATGGTGTAATAGGCATCTACCTGAAATGAGTTTTTTGGAACTTAGGATGTCTGTAACATGTGGTGGTGCACGGTCACCAATGGTTCCATTCAAGGTGCTCAGTCACCATTTTTCCGGGTGCGATGTGTTCATATACTACTGAGAATTGCTTAATTGTTTCTTCTTGTCCGATTTATGAAACTGTTGCCGTATCCTGAATCCAGATAATGTTGTTTACAAGCCTATTGTTGTGTCGTTAAGCCATTGGGTGATATTATTGGGGTATGAAAACCTCAAGTAAAAATACCAGTGTTATAGAATCCAACTACACTAAAACACAGAGTAACTATATGGAGTCCAAGAAGCTGATATTAACTTGCTACTAAGGTCACCTAACTGATTTTGCTCTGGTCTGCAGCTGGGTGCTTTAGTTTTAAGCATGATGGGTTGATGATTAAAAGTTAGCTTGGTAAATTACCTAATTAAAAATAAGATTTGTAATTACCAGCAGTGCAGAGCTACAAAGTTTAAAATTGGTAGAACAGCAAGTCCTTTTTTAAAAAACTTTCATTATATACAAATTAAGTTGCTCATAGCATTAATAAAATTAAACCTTGGCAATATATTAAGAGTTGAAATTTTTATGTTTTTTTTTTTTTTTTATCAAAACAGATCTAGGATTATACTATATCATTTATATCCAGATTATCTATTGTACATTCCTTTTATCGACCCCAGAAGGTTATTTGTTACTTGTTTCTTGTGTTTATCTGCAGATGTTTATTTATTTATTCATTTGAGCAACAGATTTGAACAGTTTGACAAATATTTAACTAAATCATTTCTTTTATAGATGTCCAAAATATTTTTTTTAAATGTGCCTAAGTCACATTTGTGACAAAGCTGATTCAGAAGTGCTTTTTATATAAGAAAAACATCAAGATAATATTGAATATTGCCACTCAGCTATAAGAATGGCAAAATATTTTTCTTAATACATATCACTTAGCCATAGTTATAATTGCATTTTTTTCTTTCTTATATTTATTTTTGCAGCAACATTAGAAATAGTTTGGATTCATTGAATAAAGCAGCCAGAAAACACTATACATATTTTCATATATTGATGCCAAAGATTTGTAAAGCCAAATTTCTATGATGGCCATCTTCAACCAGTTTATATGGCAATGATCATATAAACTTACAGAAAATATGTAAAATCTGAATGGAAGTCAGAGTAACTGTAAGAAAGAGTAAGCAGTATTCTTTTTAATTTAAAATGCAAACTGTCCTACTTTTATTTTATTTTTTTTTGTTATAGCAGAAAATAAAACCCTGCATTGAATTCTTTTGTTTAACAAAATTCAGAAAATGGTCAAAAGAACCCTACATGAGATATGGCCTGTTCTTTGTATTTTACTTTACTTAATATTTTAGTCCAACTCAAAACCTGACTAATAAATTACTTGTTGTGTAGGAGCAGGTTCTTTTTTAAACATTAAAACGTTGATAAAGAGCAGATGGTTATCTGGTTGAGGACAGCCTCATAGACTGACTTTACAACAATTAATCACAGAAACATTCATCTGAACATAAGGTCTGCTATAAAAAGCCTTCTCCCAGCACAGAAACACCTCATCAATCACAGGGAAGCACATGAAGAACAAAGACAAATGAAATACTAACTTTATACTTGAATCAAGTGTTTGAGGAACAAGCTGGTAAAAAGGATCATAAAATCTGAGCATACCCTTTGGACTCTGTCCAGAGAGTTCCCTCCTTCCTCTGTCCTGCTGCAGGGAGAGTTGACCACTGGACCTGTCAAAACGTCTGAAGACACGCGAGGGAGACTAACTGATGTCTTCATCCCTGATCGCGGTGTGCCGTTATTATGGCAGAAGAAATTAGCCTTCAGTTCGCCCGGCAGGACGAGCCCTTGCCCCTGAACTGTCTGGTTTGTGACCACCATCGGTCTCACAGTTGCCATGTTCGCTTGCCGCAGGTGCCTGTCCTCAGGAGCGGCAGCGGGGACGGTCTCAGCCTCTTTGAAGAACCGCTCAAAGCGGTCGAGGTAAGGCGGCCTCTCTGGCAGGAGGTAATAGTGCGTGCTACTGACTTTCTGCCCGTCACGGACGATGGGCAGGATGCAAGGACCCCTACTAGCATTGTCCTTACTCTGGGCTTGGATCACTTTGGGGGCAGCGTATTTGGGGTCTGAGGCAAAGCTGTGTGTGGTAGGCATGAGTTTACCAGGAGAGGTTGAGAGGTAGGAGCTGTAGGTGTGTGCCGTGGAACAGGGGGAGTGTAAGGCCTGGTGGGTGGAGGGGCTGACGGAGCAGATCCTCTGCTGGAGGGAGCCCACCACGGCACAGTTTGGGCTTGGAGTCCGGGAGCCCGGTTGTGACAGAGGGTCCCTGGGTGGGATCTGAGGCGGTGGTTCGAGGGTTGAAACACTGTGCGTGGGTTCGGTTGGCATCGGGGAAACAGACAGGTCCCTCGACCAGCGAGCAGATGTATAATCGCCCCTTTTTATTGGGCGAGGGGGGATTGGAACGCGTGGGGGGATCTGAGGTCTGTCCTCGCTCTGGCGGTCTTCCTGGGAGCTCCGAGTAGTCTGAGGAAAGAAGGCTGATATTTGGGACAGCTGACCAACACCCCCCACCGGGACGTTGAGCTTCCTCATGCACTCCTGCTGGAGTTCTTGGAAGATCTCTGCAGATTGGGAGAAGGATGGGGAGGCAGTGTGGCCATGCTTGCCGGGAAGGAAAAGGTTGTCCTCCAGGACTGGTCTTTCTGTTCCATCCAAGATGAGAACTTCCCTTTCAATTAATTCTGAAGAGTTGGTTCCTTGGACTCCCTGGACAGCCGTCTGCTCATATTCAGATTGTTGCTCAAAGCTGTTGATGGAGCTCACCTTCAAGGAAAAAACAAGGTGAAAGTTAGTAACCTTTATTAGCTATAGTTGAGCAAATACAAACTAGAATTTCAGTGTAGAGATCCAGAGCAGACTGGGAAGGCAAGATCCTCTGAAGTTCAGGTAATAGAAAGATGCAAATTCAGACATGCATGCAGGACCACTGTGATGACAGATCACAGAAAGAGATTATCCACAGAAATAAATCCAAAAAAAGCATTTCTAAAAATGCTTTTTCATTTAAAATATAGTAACGATTTGCTTCCATAGGATGAATAGCTGCGTAAATAAACGGGTGGTACGGTTCGGGTAGTGACATCTCAAACTTTTCATTTTTATTACCAGATTACATTTATTGAAATCATGGAAGCCGTTTGTTTTTACCGTACCTCCATGTCATCTTCATCTTGAGCTACATCATCATAGGCAGGAGGTGGTGGTAGGGGACGGGCGTCCCAGTCTACCACAGGCGTGGGGTGAAGTGGCCGTGGCAGCCATTTAGACGGACTTTCAGGCGGGGTTTTGTCCAAGATGTTGCCCGCTTGCAACATTAGCTTAGCCAGCACAGGATTGTGATTTTCAACAACAGGTGAAGGGGAGGGTGAGGCTGAGAAATGCTCCCCAAAGTCAATGAGGGACACATCGCTGCTTGGAGTGTGGCCTGAGCTCGTGGTCCTGCCACTCTGCTTGTTTGCAGAGACCCAAGCAGCTGGTTTTAGCTTGAGACCTTTGAGTGAGCCAGTTTTCCTCAGTGATAATCTCCTAAGCGCTGCTGATGTGGAGTCCTCCTCTTCAGTTACCGGATCATAGCAGGGTTCTTAGGATAAAAACAGAATCCAATCATTATTCTACTGCATCATGTTTCAGAATTAACAACTTCAATACCACTTAGAGAACACCTCACACCAAAATATATATCAGACAAACGGAAGAAAACTTTCACTTAAAGCACAGCAAGGATGCATGCCAGCTGAGAGCCGGAGAGAAATGGAACATGATATTAGGAAGGAGAGACTGTGAGCGGACAGAAGCACTGCAAACCTGACAAAGGAAGGCTAAAAAAAACAAAAACAGTGAAATGTACCTTTGAGGAGTGGAGCAAAGAGGGAACAGAGAAGACAGGAACAGTGGGTAAGAAGCTGCTGAGAGAGACCTGACTTACTCTTGATTAACACTGTTGGCTGGGGAGGGCGGGGGGGCGGCTCCTCTGCAAGAATAAAATAGTCTCAAAAAAGAAACAAAGATAGGGAAATGGTAGCAAGAGAATAAAAAAAAAAACAAGGGTTTAGAAGAATTGTGAGGGTTTTTTTTAGGTCAGAGGAAACCTTGCAAAGAAAATATTAGGAATGCTGAAACGTCTCAATTTAATCCTAAAAGCTTTGGTTTTAAAAGGGCAAACTGCTCATTTTGGGAGGAAATTCAAAGATTTCATATGATGGGAGAATACAAAGAGCGTTTTAAATGATTAATGATTTTTAAACTGCCCTCATTAATCCCCAAATTAGCGAACAGAGCCCACCTGTGTGTAGTTTGATAAAAGTATGAATGCAGCTGTTTTATGAAGAGAATAGAGAGAGAAAGCTGTGGACGGAGTTTAATGCTGGGATAGGATAGAACACTGCAGGGGGATTGTTGAACATTAACAAAAACATCTGAAAGTAGAAAGACTGAAGCCCAACCAAATCCTATGAAGCGCAGCCATCCACCTTAACCAGGGTTCTAAAAACCAAATATTCCAAAGAGCCATTTTTCACCTTAGTACAACTAAAAATTTAGAGTAAAAATTTACAAATTTTTTTATAAATATCTATTAAAGGAAATGTATTGTTGGATTAAAAAAATAACTACTGTCATTCATTTTTATTTTTAGGTTTTTAAATAAAAAAGTAAAATAAAACTTTGTAAAATGAGGTTGAACATTTTCAGTCTTATCCTCATTTGGAGAGATCATTCCATTAAAAATGAAAAAAAATGCATAACTATACAAAAAAATAAAAATAAATTTATACTCTATCCAAAGTGCCATTTCCCCTTAATACAACTAAAGATTTAGAGTGGCAAACATGCAACAATTACATTTTTTTTTATAAATATCTATTAAAGCTACAGTGTGTAATTTTCAGCGACATCTAGCGTCCAGACTGCAGACCGCAGCAACATGAACATCTCCCCCCCACCGCTTCTCCCCCCCAACAGTACGGCGAGCGTTACGGGACAAAATGTCTTCCACGACGTCCGCATCACCTACCTTCTCAAGTGACGAGGTTTGTTTACATAGATAATTTTAATACTGCCATCTATTGTTCAGTACCGTCTCAGTTCATCTCTCTCAACTTGCGTAGTTACTTTCGAGCGTAATGGGAGATCTCGCAATCGCTAGTTTGTTGGCTCTGCGCTGCCGTAGCGCAAAGATGTCTGCCTCCATGGCTGTCAGACCCGCTCCTATGTAATTATAAATAACAAATTCTAAGGCAACGCAAATATTAAGGTTAAGAGGCTGAGCTCGTAGATGATGATAACATAGTTATGTATTACATTTCTGACTGTATATCCCTGTAATTATTACACACTGTAGCTTTAAAGGAAATTGTTGGTTTAAAAAAAAACTACTGTATTTCATTTTTAGTTTTAGTTTGTTTTTTTATGTAAAATAAAACTTTGCAAAATGAGGCTGAACATTTAAAGGCATAACTATACAAAAAACAAATCAGTTTATACTTTATCCAAAGAGCCATTTCCAACTCCAGACCTCAACTGACAGTTTAAGCAGAGAGAACAGTCAGAGAAGCAGTCTCTGGGTCTATGGTAACAATGGAGGAGATCCAGAGACCACATCATAGCATACCAAAGATACATCATGCCATGTGACATCATGTCCTCTAAGAAATATGGTAGTTAAACCATCATGCTTTTCTTTGGGAGGGAAGCTGGCTGAGTTGATGGGAATTCCCTCCAAGAACTGCAGCAGGACATAAATCTTAAAAATCTAGACTAAGAATAAATGGAAGCTATTTAAATTAAATCATAATTAAGTCTTGAAGCAGCCCAGTCAAAGAGTAAACCTAGTTTTAATTTTTTTTTTCTAATCCATTAGTGCACACCCTAGTTTCCATATTTTAATTCACAATTTGGATGACTTGTCAAATAAAATCAGTAATAAAATAACTTAAGCTTTATTGCTTTTATTTAGTAAATTGTTATAAAAGGTTGTGAATACTTTATGGCAGGGATCTTCAACATTTTCCAGGCTAAGGACCCCCAAACTAATGGCGAGATGGAGCAGGGACCCCCCCCCCAATTATATATGTTGTATGAAATTATGTTATATCAAACTGGTCCTATAGTCACTCTATTACAGATTGAGTAATGTAACAAAAGTAATTTCACCCTGGGATTATTAAAGTATTTCTTATTCTGATTCCTGGTTGATGGGACAGGTGTTGTGAATGAAACGGTGCCCAGCTTGAAAGATCTCCTGTGTGTCGCTGAATGAGTGCATTGATTACTAAAGACATCTTCTGCCTCTATTTATATGTTTACTACAGTGTGTTGAATTCGTGTTAATGTGGATTTAAAGACGTTACAATTAGTGGACAAATTTGCAGGGGGGAAGGTCAAAGACCTCCGATTTATGGCCATGTTTGCGGTAAACCAAACAGTTCTCAAAGAACAAAATCCTATTTTTTCCTACTCGTCTAAATCCTTCAGCGTGGCAAAAGAATGTGACCCAAACCCACTTTTAGTTGGTCCGGGCAGCTGAGTGGGCCGAGCAGCACTGAGGTCCAATCCCAGGACGTCAGGAGGATCCATGGGATTCCCAAGGTATAAGCTGAAAGAGACAGCCAGAAAGAGTCATTAAGTGCAGAATCTGTTTCAATCACCAGATGGATGTTTTTCTTATATCACAGCAGCGCCATCTGCTGGACAGAAATGATCATTTCAGAGAATAGGGCTTTTGGAAGTTTGACATAATAAAAGGCTGTTTCTTACTCATCAATCCTATCAGGGAAGCCCCAGCAGCGCTGAGGGTTTGTGTCTCCATGACCTGTGTGGATGAAGCTGTTCTTCAGAGGTCTGCTGATGTCATGCGCTGACAACCCCGCGACGGACGTCACCACGTTCCTAGGGAACTGCCCCACCTTAAGGGTACGCTTGTTCTGTCCTCGCCACCAGTAGTTCTCAGCCCTGAAGCATACAAACATGTGAGGAAACTACCAACTAGTCAGGAATCATAAAGACCAGTTTGCCAACTAAACACTGCAGAGTCATCCTCACCCACCTCCCCTCTATGATGGTGATGACATCATTGACTTTGATGTGAAGTTTGTCAAGTTCATCAAAGTCCTGTAGAGCGCACATGTCAGTGGGCATGGTCTGAAAGAGACATACAGAAAGATGCCTTTACAAACTCACTTAGGAAAAGCTGCCCTTAACCACCACTAGATGGAGCTCATGATTCACTTGAGCAAATGGGAATTTTGTCTCTATATTTAAAAGGTGTTGGGATTAGCATCAAGTAAACATTTACTAGATGAAAACTCAGCCTCCTCAGAAGGACAGAAGTGCACCCACAGTGGGTGTGGCATCCTACCTCAAGTAGGAACTCCCGCAGGGTGACAAAAGTGGGTCTGTCTCCTGGTTTCTGAGCCCAGCACTGCAGCATAACATTATAGATGTCCTGTGGACAGTCTTCTGGCTTCTGAAGCCTTTCGCCTTCTTTATCAATTTTATGGAGAATCTTTTTTTTTTAATCAACATAAAAAAACAAGACAACAGAAAATATGAGTTGTTTAAGTTTAAAAAACATTTCAAAAGAGCTTGTCTGGTTTATTATCCAAGTTCGTACCTGGCTGCCATTAAGGCCCAGCCACGGCTCCTGGCCATGCGTGAACATCTCCCAAAGAGTGACTCCAAACATCCATGCATCTGTAGCGTGAGAGAACGTTCTGGTCTTCAGACTCTCTGGAGCACACCTGAAACGGGATAGGGGTCAAACCACAACACTGAATGCAAAACCGGTCACATTTATTCAACACTGTGGAGAGTGTCAAAAACTAATTAATTATACTCTGATCCAATCACAGCTGCACAATCCCTGCATAGACAAATCTAGAAAATGTACTCTTCGAATTAAATGCATTTTTGAAGTGGAGAAATACGTGTCAATCAAATCACCGGTGGCACAATTACTGGTTCCCAGAAAAGAAATAAAACAAAAGAATTTTGAATGGGTTATTTTGATAATTTATCAGTTTCTAAGAACCTCTGCCTAGACATGGCACGACACTTTCCTGAACTTTAAATATGGCAAAACATGCCGTTTGTTTTTGATTTTGTCAACCCCGCTGGTAAAGGACCCATATCTAATCTGCCGATGAGGACAGAAAACAAGATGTGAAAGAAGGTAAGAAATCCCTAAGGATTATCAAAACACCTTCTGTTTCCTACAATAACAAATGTAATTTGAAAAACTCTACTAAATATAAAAGATGATACTAGGATTGAGTGTTTAGGGTTTTATTGATTTACAAAGGATGGAACATGACCTTATGTGGAAGGTTAAGTAGGGTGGGTGATCTATGATGCTGTGGGCTTGTTTCTGCCCTGGTTAAGTGCATGGCGTTGTGTCCTGAACTATGAAAAATCACTTTTTTTCTTTAAAAAGGTAAAATGGGAGATTATGGGATCATTCAACAGGATGATGATGATGATCTACAGCTTATGGTTAAATCAATACAGTACTGGCTCACCAGAGATAAAATCTTCTTTTAAAGCCATGTACAGTACAGCTTAACAGGTTTAGTATCAATTGTTACTCATTTAAGAACACTTCATTCATATTTATTACAACTACAAAAAACTTATATTCAAGTTTTTTAATTTGGATAAATAAGGCCTTAATATATATAAGCAGCAATTAAAAAATGTAAAAAATATTTTCACAGTCTGAGGAAACTAAAGATTAATAAATAACTCCCCTCCCTGTGAAACTTTTGCTTAACAGTTCTTTCAAAGCTGTTGCTGCTGGACCACATTTTCTCCTTCGGCTAAACTTTCAATAAATATGGTATAACCTTTGAACATTATAGTCATTTTGTAAGATTCTAAATTGTAGGGATTTTATTTATCTTTACACCATATTTATCAAAACTAACAAACAATTTGATTGACAGATGACTGTTGATATATGATTGGCCGAATTTAGATGTTCAAGCTGACATAGAACTAACTGGCCTGCATAAAATAACGAGGGGAAAAAAACACAGATTTTAAGACAGGATTTTTTTTTTTTAAATAGAAATTTTCCAACTTTGGGACAATATCATCTGATAAAGAGTGCATTTATATGCATATTTAAGCCAGAATGATTTGACATTTATATATGACTTCCCTACAAATTTAAGATACACCTTCGCTGCTATGAGAGATTTATCAGAGAAATGTTTTTAGGAGCCTAAAGGTAGTGTAATATCTATAAATTATACGCAAACATAAGATGAAACGTTAAGGGTTTATGTCGTTCACCTACCACGCAAAGGGAACCTTGCGATGCTCCTGCATGACGTAGTGCTCATCGTTGTTAGGCAGCGCCCTCATCAGGCCAAAGTCCCCGATTTTCACTTTGTTAGCTGCAGCGAGCAGGATGTTCCTGAGCAAACAGAGAAAAGTGACTGATTACAGTTTAGGCTGGGTTAAAGAAAAAAAAGTACCAGTTATTAGATTAAAAGCTTTAGAAACTCATGAGTTATTTTCGTTACCTCCTAATTATCCCTAAACGTTTTTGTTAACTTACCTCGCAGCCAGGTCCCTGTGGATGAACCGTCTCTGCTCCAGGTAAGCCATGCCGCTCGCTACCTGAATAGCATACTGACACAGAGTGTGAATCAGCACCGGGCCTTTTGGATGAACACATCGCAGACGATCCAGCAGAGAACCCAAAGGAGCCAGCTCAGTCACCTGCACACCGAACAGAGAAACAAAGCAGCAGATTACAAAAACTGATCTTATGTTACTGTATGAAGTATTGATGTCAGCTTGAGTTTGTGTCCACTACCATCTTCATTGGATGTGTGAGAACCACACCGTAGAGACGGATGAGGTTCTGGTGGTCCAGGGAGTGCATGGCGTTGACCTCGCAGATGAAATCCTCCAGAGCATCAGGCTGACTGAGGACATCCGTCTTTAGACATTTTACAGCCACGTTAAGCTGAAAGGTCAGAGATATTCCCAAACACAGACTTACTCCCATTCCTCAGTGTAAAAAAAATAAATAAATAACAGCCCTCATAAATAAAGGAGTGAAGGTCTTCTCACCGCTTTCCCTGTAGGCGTCAGCCACTCCCCTCTCTTCACAACGCCAAATGAGCCATCCCCAAGCTTCTCAAAGAGCGTCAGGTCCTTCTCCGGGATGAGGCAGGTCAGGGCCTGCTGCTGCCCGTTGAGCGGACCGCCGCTGACTTCCGACTGATTGTCCAGCACCACGTCGCTCAGACAGAGGGGAGGCGTGAGGGACAGTTTGCGGAACGAAGAGGCCAGCTGGCCCTGCTGAGGGAATTCTCCGTCTGGTCGCTTCCCACTGAACACCTGGAATCAAGAAGAACGAGGCGCTATAGTTTATTAAATCCTAGTTGGATACAACTTCAAAGTGCAAAGGAACCATTTAAACAGTGAGCTGGCTGTTAGTCAGATGTTAGGAGGTTATAAAACACTTCAAAACTTGGGCCAGTGAACCAGTGGGCCGGTCGGTATGTCAATTTCGGGGCGTGACAAAAAAACAGGCCAGAAACAAATAAGGCAACAGCCCCGGGTTTACATCAACTCAGGGCTTCCTTTGGATTCGCCCGTTTTATGGTGTAAGTTTAGAATTGTGAGATTTGCAGAGAAAGGAGGCGTTGATGGGGTTTGAACTTCTCTGTGCGTCCATTTCAACCACTGAACTATCGTTATTCATCTATGACAAGGTAAACTCGGTTTTGTATTCTATGACCTCTTTAAAATTTGTCAAGCAACAATTTTGAGGGAATCGCAGACATCAGGTGTTTTCTGCAATGTTCAGGAAATGACTTCTGCACCTGTTAACAGGTTTATCGGCTCACTGTTAATAAGCAAGACACTTTAATTTTTCTGAGACCTTTTTTTTTTTTTAGACAATTTCTTATTTTACACAAAAACTCAAAATGAATATTTTATTTCACTAAATTTTGTTATTTTTTTTAATTATCACTTTTTCAGCTTTATGTTCTTTGAATTACTAGTGTTCACTGGATGGGGCCGCCTTTTACAGCTGCTTTTGTGTCTCTGCTTCTGTCTCCTTGAACCCCAGTCAGCCTCAGCAGATGGCCGCTCACACTGAGCCTGGTTCTGCTGGAGGTTTCTTCCTGTTAAAAGGGAGTTTTTCCTCTCCACTGTCGCTACAAGCATGCTTAGTGTGAGGGATTGTATTTGAGTCAATGAGTCGATGCAATCAACTGGTTTTCCTTAGATAGAAAACTTTGTACCAATTTGACTGTATGATCTGGTTGAACTGTAAAGTGCCTTGAGATGACGTGTTGTGAATTTGGCGCTATACAAGTAAACTAAATTGAATTGAAATTCTCATTTTCTTTAATGGATAGGTATGTAAACTTTCAAGCTCAACTATAAGTGAAGTGTTTAATGGGATCCAGCCTGTCTTTACTTGTCTATAGTACGAGAGTTAGGGAGATTTGGAGAGTTGCTTTCCTGTAGCTGCAGCCATCTTCTTTAAAATTCTGACCAGCGTCCCTCTATCCCATGAAGAAAAGCATTCCTCCCATAATGATGCTCCCACCATGTTTATAAGTGGGGGTAATGTTTTCATTTTTAACTATGAAACACATTCTCTAGGTGAACAAAAAACATCGAAAGTCTCATCTGACCAGAGTAACCGTCTCCACATTTCTGTCGTTTAACCAAATCAGGCTTTTTATGACTTTCTGTCTCCTTCTGCCCCCAGGAATGACTGATATTGACTTTATAAGAATATTTTGTGGCAGTATAGCAATAATAAAAAAGTGGCATTAAAAACAAACTCTTCATTACTTCTTTGCAGTTTTTCTAAGATAACTTTATGGCTGTAACTGCATACCACAACATTTATATAAATACTACAAATACTGGTACTACTTTTGAACATACAAATATCAAAAAGGCTTCTTCGGGACACCAACTACACAAAGTATAATCTCTCTCATTAAACATCTCAGTGATTGCTATGATCATATTCTCTGAGTTTGTCAATTCCTCAATAAAAAAAAAGAGAAATATTCTGACAATTCACCCAAACTCCCATAGTTACAAACAAACTCTTCCGTTCAAGCAAGTCTCTTCCCCTGTTCTCAGGCATTTTAAGCCGAGCAGACAATTAGATCTTGATAGTTGAGTCACATTTTAATTTATTATTGGATAACAAATTGAACAATAGTTAATGTGAGCTTAGATCATTATTTCATAACCAAACCCTACTTGAAACTTCTGTAGTTCTTTTTCCTGCTGTGTTGTTTATGAAGCACCACTCATGTTCCATAACATAGATGGAGGCAAAGGATTTTTTCTCTATTTTTAGGGTTTTGGATGAACACACATGCAAACCAAACTTCACTGTGTGTTTTTTTCTGGAAAAACATCCTTAAAAGCCATGAAAACAGTCTCCAAAAATACAACAATATTTGTCATTCTTTTGGTGTTCACAAAATGTTAAAAAAAGCGCTCAGTGAGGAGGAGTACTTATGAGTAACTCCCACAGCACAAATGACATGGAAATGATCGTAGAACATCTTATATGACGTCATTATAATCATATGAATCAAGTGTCACAACTTGAACAGACCCACTGTAGCCATTGGTTACATTTTCAGCAATACCAGACATGACATAATGCAGCAGACCTTTATAAAAACAACACCACCCTGTGGTCACGGTGTGGTCAGTCGGTTTCAAATAAGAGACTGGGCATTCATAAGATTCTGACTGTGGCAGGGCAGCACACACACACACACACACACACACCCCTACTCGTTCTGCTATACGTAATGTGGCCCATGTGTTGACTCCCATTGATTTTCAGTCATTTTCAACCCTCTCTATGCCCTAACCCTAAAATTAACCCTAAACCTAACCATTACCAATGCATACCTTACCCTAAACCTAACCCTAACCAATCGACACTTTAGCCCTAAACCTAACCATTAGCTAAATAGCATGTGAGAACCGGCAAAATGTCCTCACTTTGCAACAACTGATCCTTAATTTGATGGTGAAATTGGAAAAATGGTCCTCACTCTGAGGGTTAGACAGGTACACACACACACACACTCAGACAGCATGCTGAGGAAGCAGATGACTCTGTGTGGATGGTGCCAGGAGCGGAAACAGACAGGTGTAATTATAGACCCTGTGACTAGACTGCCAACAAGCACTCCTATTTGTTTACCACGGTTTTCCTGGAGGACTTAAGTTAGCTTGGTGACTTTCAGAGTCTGTCTTTTTAGATATTACCTTCACCTTAATTTAAATAAGTCATATCAGGCCATTCTCGTTCTGATAGTTCTGAATGTGTGTATACTTGCGTCTATAAAAATGGATGTTTGTGTTTCACATTCAAAGCATAGCACAGAGCAGACAGTCAAATCAAATATATATTTGTGTTTAATGAGGCGATTCTCATTCCTCACCTTGCTCATCCAGGTTTTCCGCTTGGCTTTCCTCCTTTTTACAGCCTCCCACAGACGTCTTTGGCCTGGATCAATAATAAATGGAGCACAGCGATAATCAGTGAGAGGGTAAATAGATCACTTAATAATTCAACCAACACTGAATAACTTAACATAAATGAGCAGAATTAACAAAAAGTTAAGCAAAGGTTAAAAGAGTACGAGAGGCAGCGAAGATGGCAGAGAAAAGGAGTCGATGTTAAAAGGTTTGTGAGCGATGAGCTAAAGAAGAAAGAGAGATGCAAGTCCACATGAGAAATGAAGTGGGTTTAATTAGTCTGGAGTCTGTGTAGAGAGGCCCCTGAGGGCTTCAGTAAGTGGATTTAGAACATGGTTGCTGTGATCTCTTTCACAGAAGCACAGCCGCAGACGGACGCTTCGGCACTTCACAATCTCCTCCTATTGTGTCACATTATCAACCGTGGCTTAGAAAATAAAATTTAGGATGATGGTGATAGAAGAATGGGCTCTTATTAGAATGAGCCATTACTCAACACAAGTGGAAGACTTTGATATAAAACAAAAAAATATGAATAAATTCACACCACCGAAGCTGGTTGGTGATTTAGGATTTTGGTTGGACAAGATGCACAATGAACTTGGGTTGACATGATACCAAAATTTAAACTCTATATCAATACCCAGGAACTATTCTAATTCAATCAGATTTAAAACTGACAAAAAATGCAATGCATACAGTATAAAAACTATTAACATTAAAAACTTTCTTCCTAAATCCCTTTCTTCTTAACTATTAGCAGAGATGGGAAGTAACGAAGTACAAATACTGTACTTC